TTCTCTACCTTGCATTACATGCTTTAGAAGGTACTTAAACTACCCTGGCACTGATGTAGCAATCATTAACATTTTATCTTTATCCTGCTGAACACTTTAAGAAGTGACAGAAGCAGCAGCAAATGGAAGAGAAATAAATTAGACAGCAAAGACTTGTAAAAAAAGCTTGGAATCAAAGTACTGGACTGGAATACCCTCCACACAGGCATTGGCTCTGTATCTGAATTCTCCATCTTGTGCCCAACTCTAATCATTACCAGTTTCTTTTTAAAAGCCTGTGCCTGAATGAACTGATGCATTATGAGACAGCCACAATCTAAGTAAACTCCAAACAAATCATTCATCACAGCAAAGCTCCAGAACAAGCTGGTACTTTCTCAGAGAAGAGTGTTATACATGTTATACACGAAAACAGAAAACACATACTTTCTGTAGACTTTCATCAATTGTGCACAAGCAAAGCCTTTGATAATTCTGAATAGGCTTGAGATCATTATGCCCCAGGCCAAGAGGCTCTCAGTAGTTTAAGATCTCATTTTCCAAACTTTTGGTCAAAAGAGTCTTTTTAAGTGCAGGGGAGAAAGAAACACTTTTTCCATGAATATTGTTATGTTCACAATGCCCCTACTCAAATCCTTGTATGCACTACCTTTTTCCTTACCAGAATCAAACTTTACATCCTCAAAGTCAGGAGTAGGAAGTGCTCACCCACATCAGCTGCTACATTTTCTGTTTCTCATCGTTCCCTTTTATGGTCTAAGTTGTTCCTGGAACAGTTGACCTTCTCCAGTTCTCAGGCTCACTCTTACCTTCCTGTCACTCAAATCTACCACACACACTGTGCTAAATTTCCTTTGGTTTCCCTTTTGAAATTATCTACTTAAAGTCATGAAGAGATTCTTATGCAGCTCCAGAAGGACAACTAGAATACCAAGGAAATGTGTCCATCATTTTATGTTCTGTAGCTCACACCAACACATGACAACCATGCAGTTGATTTAATATTTTAGTAAAATACTGAAGTGCTTTGACTCCAGAAAAAGTGTAACCAGCTTAATCTAGTCACTATTTTCAAGTCCTTTCCCTTTGAAAACAAACCCTTAATCAGCCTGAACTCCTAAGGGCTCAAATCTTATTCTCCAAAGTGGTGTTTTTGTTTTAGCTACTTTATCAGCTTGGGATTATAAAGTAACGAAAATGTTATGCATTCAATTTAATATCACATTCTCTATAAAAATTAGAAGAAGCAATAATTTCATTAAGGAATTTGGACTTTTGGCTCCTATATTACTACCCCAAGGCCAAAGGTTTCTTTTTCTTTAGAAGTGTTATGTAATAATGCATAAGCAACAGAAGTGTACTTAACACTGTGGTATCCTGTAATTCACATCAGAAGCTGGACAAATAATTCCAGCCCTTCTCAGGCAAAACCTCACCAATGTAAATTAGTTTTCTCAGAGCAGGGAAGGACTGAAATCCCTCTGAATGATAGAGAGATCAACAGAAGCCTTTACAAGTGTTAAAACACAGTCTGATCTGCAGGGTTTACAAATACTACCCGGCAACAAGCACTGAAAGAGCACAGTTTTCAAACTCTGAATCAAATTCTAATGAATTTTGGCTAGTATTTTTTTACATGTATTAAACAACAAGGGGTCAGTTTTACTCTGACCAGGTAAACACTTCAGAATTCCAGTAGTCATAGAAGTGTTTTAACAGGCCATGCTCTTTGTTCAAGATCAATAATTCCGTTTCCCTGCATCTAATTCCCTGATTTTTCAAAAGGACCACTTCTCAGCAAAATTTGATTCAGCCCCTTTTTGTCAGGCCTAGGGGACACCACAGATCTTTAGAACCAGATCTTTGTTTGTGTTTCAAGGGGTGACTAAATATAGAATCACATAAAACAGGGACAAGGAGGACTGATGGGGTCATCTACATCATCTCCTAATCTCCAGGTGGGATCAGTTTTGCCTAAAAAATTGCTAGTAGCAACTTCTCTGAAGTTCTTAGGAGACTCCATTGACTGGTTCAAATTATGCACCCACAAAATTATTAGAAACTTTCTTTTATAGTCGGCATGTATCTCCAGTTGAAGACAGCACTACTTCTACTTTTCAGATTTTAAACATATAATACATTACTAAATCTGATAATATACAAATTCACGTGTTTTACTTACACTCCTTGTAGCAAGTGCTCTTTCTGCAAAATTATTTAATAGTGGTAAGTCATTTAAGACTTGTCTTACACTATTGTAGCAACCAAGCCTTCAAATACCACAGCAATCCCTTTATTTTATTTTTTAAAATTATTTTTCTACTGGAACCAAAACAAAAATTGTAATTAATTCCCCATAACAAGGTTCTAATTTTAAGCAGTCTGGAAAGAAGATGCTAGGAAAGGAATAACATCATACAACTTACAATTTTAGGAATACTTTTTGGTGCCTAAAATTGCAGTGAGTCAATTCTGAGCCTAAGAAAATCACTTCCAAACTAATATTTTCTCTTTTTGGTGATACTTTAGGGAAGAAATCATTGTCAGTTTTCAAGGTACTCAATCATTTCTCTCAAGTTATCTAGACTGTCTATAAAAAGCTAATTTACAGTGGGAGGTGTCTACCACAGGTGCCATTAAGTCTAGAGCCACGAGACTGACTTTTCCCTGGACATGTGTTTAACAAGATTATGATGTAGAAGCATACTGCACTTCTTTGTGTGAAGTGCAAGGCTTTTTATCCCAAGAAATTATCTTCTATTCCTCTTAGCTAATGTACAGTGAGGTTTTTCTAATCACTATTCTTAAGGGAAGGTAAGAAAACTTAATTAATATATAGACATTCACAAGTAAGTAGCTGGCAACTCTTTTTTTAATTCACCTTCAAATCAAGAAGGGTTCTAATTAAGATGAGATAACAGATTCAACTTCCTAGTGTTCTTCCCCAGCAGAGTTTTGTAAGTGCATAACAAAAATATAATGATATGGGACAGAAATCTAAAATCTGTAGCAAATAAGATTGATTTCTGCACACAAAAGTAGAAAAAAACCCCAAAGCTGGCATCTTGCCAATATTTGAAATTACAAATAAATTACATTTCAAAGTTTTTCTTCTTACTTGACTAATTCCCAGTTTGATACAGAATACAGACACTATGTAAACAAATACTAAATTCCTTTTAGTGTGTTTAAAGATGAAAGCTATCATTATTATTTCTGAACTGGAGAACTAAACGTGGCAACTTGAGTATAGTGAGAATTTCAACATTTGAAAGTACAGTCTTAAAGAAAACAATGAAACAATAAACACCTTCTATCAAAGACATTTATTGTTAGAGTTTGGATTTGTCAGATTTTTTGTTTGGCTTTGCCAGATTTTTTGTTTGTTTTCTGTTTTCCGAGTGGTTAGTTTGGTTTTTGTGTTGTTTTTGGGGAGTTTTGGCAGGAGGGTCTGGAGGGTAGGCAATCTTTTTTCTTTCAAGGTTTCTTGAAAGGGAAGGACAGGGAAGAATCCTTAATTTAACTGAAGCCAAACTACAAAATCAGTTTGGACAATTTTGAATCTTAGGTTCTCCTTCTTATATTTTGAAGTCAAAATGAATCATCTAGGAAATGCAAAAATTATAAAAAAGTAAATAAAACCCACATTTTCAAGAACCTAAGAGACTGTGAATGCAACAAAATTCAACTAATTTTCCTAATACAAACAATAGTTATTCAGATTTGTTAATGTGCATTCTTTGTTTAGGCTTTTTTTTCTTAGCTCAAACTTAGATCAGACTTTTTTTCTTAGATCAAAAATATGACCACATACTGACCTACCCAAATGTGATTCAGGTTCACTAGAGCATAAATTACAAAACCATAAAGTCACATATTTTTCCAGATAAAATAACTGTAGTTCACTTCTGGTTTTACCTAGTTTGCTTTGGTGCATGACAATATCTTAATGCTTATGAATAACTTCACATTTTTCTGGCTGTAATATCAGTTACTTATACTAACAAAGGTTAAATATTAATTTAGGGATCTACCTTGCACTATGTTCATAACTTAATAGAAAGTCCAACTTTCAAAGTTATTTATGGACTTAAGGAAGCCAACAGGGATGGTTGGGAGAACGCAGGAAGAACAGGCTTATATGTCCCAGTCTGCAAGCACTGGGGCACTCTGAAAATCCCACGAGCTACAGTTACGTGCATCAGAAAGCCTACCTCCTGTCATACAAAAGCTTCTTCTCTGCCATCTGCTATGGATGGGTTCTACAGGTATTTATGGGTGTGGTGTACCAGAAAACAGTAGGCCAAGAAGGAGGAAAAGACTGTGCTGAGAAGTACTCGAAAATCTCCCAGAATTTCTAAGATCTGAAGGTTACTGGACCTCCTGAATCCATGAGAACAGATAAAAATCAAAACACCAAGAATCAGCTGAACCTGCAGAAGGCCACCAGCACACTAGCATCAAGACTGCATGAAACTTAGAACATGCTGATGAAGTTAGTGCCTGCTATATGTAGTCAAAGGATCGTATACATACGAGATAAAAAAACTCCTGGGTCCTTCCTGAGTTCCAGCTCAGTCACTGGTGCACTAGTGCCACCTTCCACTTGTGAGTAAACAAGTGTGGTTGGCTACCAACTATTCCTCCAACCAAGTATTCTGAGAGAGAGTAAGTAATTGTACAAGCAAATAATTGCCTATAATGTATGATTAGTTATCTGCACTTAAAAACAACAGCTCTTAATAACAGTTGAATAACAATTCTGCTCTTAATAACAATTGAATTAATAAAAGGTGTTCTAATTAACTCTGCTTTTAATCTGTGCCCCCCCCCAACTCAATCCCCCATCAGGAAAACACAAATTTATAAATATTCCTTGTTCTGGTGCTCCCTACACAAATGGCTCCACTGTTACCCTCCAGGAGCAAGCCGTGTTAGTCTGCCCATGCAAGCTTTAATGGGAGGGAAACGAACACATTCTGTCATTTGAAAATACTTACTTGGTAGGGATATAGAGTGACTCCATTCGTTCTTGACAAAGACCAGGAGCCGTCAAGGTACTGATGGGCCTGGATGGCCACAGAGTTGAGAACATTACCGTTGCTGGGGCTGGTGGCCATTTGAAAGCTGACCTTGGCTTGGTGTCCAGGAGAGCCATTTTTTTTCTCCACCCCGTTGCCGATTCCTAAACTGTTGGGTTTTCCACCGTGTTTGTTGGCGACAAAGCCTGTGTAGTTAGATGTAGCATAAGGAGAAGGCATGTATGCCCAGTCCCTGGGCTGCAGGCTGCCCATGTGCCGGGGACTCACTAACGTGGGGATATTGGAGAGAGGTGGGGGAGAGCTTGGCGAGGCATCGTAATGTTCTGAGTTGGCAGCTTGCTCCAAGGTCAGCACCATCTGAATGGCCTCTTGCTTCAACTGGTTCAGGTGTGTGGCACAAACATCACATCTGTTGTCCTTCTCGTTCCATGCCTTACGAATGGTATTGGGAACTTGGAGCTTCTCGTGAATCACTGAAGAGAAACCCGGGTCCTGAAAATCAAACAGAGAAGGGTAAGGGGAGGACAGAAGAGAAATGTTTAACCATGGTCACCACAGTGAAACACTATTAATGTATTTCAAAAGCCAGTTTATGAGATAAGCTTAGAATGCAAACTAAGCTTAGAATGCAAACAAAGGCCATTAGATACAGTCAACATATGCCAGCAGCAGAGCTGAACAAAACTGAGAAACTAGATTGTGTTGGAAAGAAAAAAATTCTTTTACTGATAAGTGGCAAATATTATAATTCCACTGCAAGCTTCAATGCATAGCAGAGAAAAGGAATTAACCTGCTTCACGCCACTGCACCTAATTTCTGGCTTGAATGAAACCTACTCTTAGTTACACAGGTGAGATTAAGAGCAACTCCACTATAGCCAGTGGACTTGTATCATGGTTCATAAATCCATTTACTCATCAGTGCCAGCTTTTGGTACTCAGAAAACCCAGGAAATACTCTGCAACAAAAATGTCACACTTCAAAGACTGCTGTAAAGAAACAAAATGAAAAAACAGAAGTACTATCACTCTCCCAAAATTCTTTTCAGAATTCAAAACAGATGGATAGTTGATAAAGTCATTTACCAAGAATACACTTTTCACCAAATCCCATCCTCCCCCAAAACAACCCTAAAAATATCCAAATGAAAACAAATCATCTTTCTGTTACTGAAATGTTCTACCACTATTTTGAGCATCTGCTGATTACGTAAAATAAACTAATAATTTTACTTATAAAATACAACACATATAGAGTTAATAGTCTGTAAAGATTAATTTTCTCCTTGGAAAGCATAGTTTTGGTGCAAAACCATATAATGAAGTTTAAAGCCTTTTGCCTCATAGCAAATGCCTATTTCATGGGTAGGTATTCGAACACCAGTGGTGCTCCCCACAGAGCAATAAGCCACTCTGATCTGAATGCTGGCCCAAATTGCAAAGTGCTTCAGTGAGCTCTGAAGCCCAACAGCAGTCTTAATGGAGGCTTAGCACCAAACCTGCCTAGTTCTCACAGTATCACACAGTTTTAGAAACTCACAGCAATGATGTGTGTGCTACACAGAGCAAAAAGGTGACAGTGGTTTGATGGAAATATTTCTTGGAATTTTCACACCAAATTTCTGTGGTTTTAGAGACCAAGTAGGGCAGACTTTACGTGCCCCTCCTTAATTTTTGGAGACTTACTGTTGGATTTTCTTATGACTACTCAAAAAGGTTTAATCAGCAGTATCAGAATCTTTTTTATTCTGTCCATCTTTGTGGCTCTAATAGCTTTACTGAAACAGCAAAATGAAATCAGACTGAGAGAACGCATGTGTGTGTGAGGGGGAAAAAAAATCCCACAAATAGGCAGCACCCTTATCAAGTAATTAAGTAATTTGATGAACCCCATGCCATCGAGATAGACAAATTTCATGTCTAGATAGTTTGGCTGTGCTGGGAAAGTGGGTAGGGGGTATAATATAGGGAGGGAGAGAATTCATTGGTAGAGGGTCATATTCATTATGATCCGTCTTTATAATATACTTGAGCATTTTATTTTCACTGTTTAACTACCGTGAACAGCTCCTCAGCATGCAGTGATTAATTGATTCATAAATCACGGTGCCTCTTTATGCACAGCAGCAAAAGAGCAGTTCCAGTCCCAGAAGCCCGGGAGAGTCATATAAGCTGATGGGAAACAACAGGAGACTGAGATCTGATCAAGCCTCAAGCTGGTCATTTCTATTCTATGCACAAAGGGGGTCAGAGCTTCAAAGTGTGTCAGGAAGGCAGGAACTGGATTCTGTAACAACCCTTCCCCCTTAACCTTCGGGAAAGGCACTGGTGGAAATCAGGGGGAAAAGACAGGATGCAAAGGATGTCAAATCCCATTTTCCATCCCAGACCATAACTAGGTCAACAGATCACATCAGATATAGGCACCCACTCTGTGATGCCAGGTGTGCAGGGAAATGATTCTCTACTTTTCCCATAATGAGCTAGACAAAGCTACCTACATAGCTGAAGTGAGGTGTGTGCCTTCTTTCCAGGCTGCTCCACGTCAGTCCAGGAAAAATCCTTGCCAGCTCTTCCTTCAGCTAGCAAGGGTCACAGAGGTAGCTGTTGTTCTTTGAAAGTTAACTTCCCTTAGGCAACTGGGCTTGGACCCAGGTAATTATATACAACATTCAGATCCAGCAGCAGAAATTCCAGGATACTATGATAAATATTCCAAGGAAATAATGCCTTCTTTAACGTAAGCAAATGTCAGCATGATATAAATATTCAAGTAGCACACCAACTTTAAAAAGTACTGGACAGCAGTGAATTCAGTTTCATCTCAGTGTTAAAACAAACATCAGATCATTCTCTGATACAACAATAAACAGAGAGAGAGAGGGAGGAAGGGAAGATGGAAAGCTGTTCCTCCTCAGGAGCAGAAAGGAGAAACAGGCACAACCTGAAATGGTTGCTCCCAAGATTGGCCCTAGTAATCTATCAGACTCTACTAGACAGATAGTTCTATCTGGATCCAAGTCTGGGATATGAAACAGAAAAGCCTACAGGACAGCAAATAAATTTGGAGGAACACAGGTTTCAGTACATTAGTCACATTTTGTTCTCAAAACAAAACTGATGGAGCCTAAGAGCTTACTTTCATATTCTGCACTGGGCAGATCCATTGTAATTTCAAAGTGTCTGACAACACATTTACAACACATTTAGCAGGGAGGAGAACAAAGCTGGACAGTCCCTACACCCTTGTTGGAATAGCAAGGAAATGCAGCTACACCACACTTTCTGTTTTAGTATTTCAGCTGCAAGCAATCATCTGCACACATTCCCCTGGGAATGCTTAATAGTTCAATAAACAGTATCTTGTCCCATACGAAACAGTGATGGGCAAGACTCACTGGTAAGCACTTTGAGCTAGCTGCACTGAGCAGCAGGAGTTGAAAAAGTTGAAAACTCACTACTGAAATTTGTGAGGTCTAAGAAACTCCACACTCCCTGGCGAAAGAGCAGATTTGCTTGTGAAATCTGAGGTTGATATTGGAAATACCATTTATGTTTTGGCACTCATTTCCAGTCCTGACAGAACAAAGTACAGTGACACTGAAAACTGAAACAGAACTTTAAAAATCACAAAAGAGTTTGGTTTGAGTTCAGGGCAAATGTTCATGATGGTTTTTCTCCTTGCTGTAATGGTTCACCCATCTTTAGTATAAACATCATTACTGTAAACTCCTGTTCCTATAATAAACAAATGGAAGCGTGTAAGAGGTCTGAAAGCTTCGGGAGATCAGACACAACACAGACCATAGCACAAATGCACACGGCAACAGCGAACTAAACAGAGCACTAACTGATCTATCCTGCAAGAAGGCTCTTTTCACCTTACCTTTGAGTTTTCCAGGTCAAGCAAACACCAATTCCAGATATGTTTAGTTGGTCATGTTCTCCACTGTAACCAAATAGTCACTAAATTCTTATCTTTGATCCTGAACTAAAAACCCACATGGGAAACACAGAAGAGGGAACAAAATTTTGCGTTTTTGAGACCCATCATAGGTATGTTGAGGAATTTCTGCTTTAACCAGTGCAAATGTACTGAGTAGAGGCACTAGTTAAGAAACACTGAAGTGCTTCTTGCACAGACAGTTCTACCAGAGTAAATGCAATCCTAATTTCACAGGGGAGGAGGAACAGCATTACTATATGATCATGTAAGGGACTGCAGAAGCATCCTCCTCTCTTTCATCTCCCTTCATAAAACTGTGCCTTACTGTATAGTTCTCATGATGTTTTAACTCCACTGCTAAGAAAGCAGATGACAAAGCTTAGAGCCCGTCTTCCTCAAGAGAGAGAGCAAACAACCACTTCCAGCATGAAGCACCATCTGTTTCACACATACATTTACACAAAGCTCATAAGGAGACATGATGAAAGTAGGATGAGCTCAACTGGTGGACAGAGAGACAGGCAAGAAATAAGAAGAACTATTTGCACTTTTATATGTTACATGGATCCTAGTTGATCATAGATTCATATACAAATACCTCATATACATTCTACTCTTTTGCAAGCATACAGCAGGCAGATACTAATACAGGACATGTTCTCTAAAATTTCATACACAACTGTATTTGATTTGGCCAGTAACAGGCTATGCAAGTTAGACATTGTAACCCTACCTCGTTACCTCAGAGAAAACTCAAATACACAAAGGATCTCAAGACCTTCTTGAACAAATTGCATTCTTCAACAGCAATATTACTCACCAACCTTTACAGAAAAACAAAGAGTCAATACTAACTAAATCACAGAGGTCAGCTTCCACTCGAAGATGCTCACAAAAGATTTATGGAGTTCTCTTGTTTCTGAAAGGGTCCAGACAGGAATGACTATTGGTATGTAATTCATCACACAAGGTGAGGAGAAAAGGGAAAAGCATCAGAGTTCTTCCCATGAAAAAGTATGTTTTCCAGATTCTCCCTCTCCACAGGTGAGGAGTAGAACAACTTAAGAAACTTCAGTAGGAGGGAAGCCTTAACCTGATAAAAACCCCATGTTATTCTATGATTGTGCAAACATGTCTACTCTAAACACAATCCTGCAAGTCCATAGTTGATTACTATTTAGGAAAAATGGGGGCGGGGAGGGGAATTTAAACAAAATAGTCTCCTCCATTCTCCTTTCTCTCTTTAGGGTGTACTTTCCAGTTCAATACAGAGATTATACTTGTAATTTGTTTTCCAGAGGCAGTTGGTCTGTTTTCCAAGACTCTGCATCCTAACTTAAAAGCCTATCATCTTCTAGGCTACATTTTAGAGATTTGCTGTTTTCACCATTCCAGAGCCCCTCACTGTTATGATGGTACCACTTCCATTAAAGCAAAAGTATCTTCAAATATACAGAAGTCAATGGGAGTTTTTCCTTAAAGAAAGCATGACAGGATACATGCTATGACTCTAAATTAGTAGTACTGTACCATCAAACTAAGCCTG